TATAAACCAATACCCGGTCGGGTATCCACCTTACCCGGTCGGGTAGAGCCGGGCAGAAGCCCCTGGAACTGACTTTACTTGAGACCCGGTCGGGTCCCTGACCTTACCCGGTCGGGTCTAGTGTGGCAGTGGCTTCTGGAGCCGAATTTAATCAATACCCGGTCGGGTATCCATCTTACCCGGTCGGGTATCACCCTTGTCTCGGCGGTCAACGCCCGTCTGACCGCCCAAACGAAGTCCGATTAACGTGAAATTTTATATGCACATTCTACTTGAAGTCCTTGATCCAAAAATACCATTTTTGACCCCTGGATCATTGTACATAATAAGTTATCACATTTTTAATCACCAAACATACAAACATGCCTTTCAACTTTGTTTTATATTTATTCATGGCATAAGCCCATACTTGATTAACTTTAATCATTCCGTAAAACATATCCTTGATTACTTTAGGTAATCTCATGCCTCAATCAAAAGTTATAAAGCATATAGCCGTCTTCTCACCTTGAAAGAAGCTTATGAAGTTCTAGCCTTTCCTATTGAGCTCCGATGAAACTCCGGTGGACTTCAACCAACTCCGGCGACAACTCCGGCGACCCTTTCAACTCCGTGAAAGTTCTTGAAATACCTTATACAAGTTAATAACAAGGTTTTATCATCATAAAACCCATATCAATACAAATAACCTCTAAAAGGTTATTTTCCGGTGAACCCGTCAACTTTGCTCTCAAAGTTCGTCTTGGGTATATACCAACACTTCAACCCCCATTCTACACTTTTAAATGTGTAGGACTATCCTAGGAGTATGGAATATGGTTAAAGAGAAGAAATGGGATTAGTACAATCATTACCTTGCTAACCACAAGTTTTCCCACCCAAACTCCTCCTTTTCTTTTCTTTTCCTTTCCTTCTTCCTCCCCTTGCTTTGTGCGTGAATGGTGGATGAAAAATGGAGTTTTCCAGACCTTCTCTCCTCAATGAAGCTGTCTTGGACGAAGTACAAGAGCTGGAGTGATTGTGAATGCCCTTCTTGGCTTATTTGCCAATAATATGGGGGAGAGGGACCCCTTTTCCTTTCAACTTGATATCAAGTCCCACTCTCCCTATTTCCCTTGATTTTGTGCGGCTCCCCTGGATATTTTGGAGACCAAGGTTGTGGGGTGGCCCCCACATATGTGGGAGGTCATCCCTTTGTGTCCCCAAGTGTACACTTGGTCCCGAAAGTTGTATTTTCCGGACTGTTTTTAACTATATTTCATTTTATCGGGTAAAATGAAATGTCTATCATTCTTCCAATTATTATTGGCTATAAGAATGAATGTACATCCCCAAATTTTAATTTGATGGTCTCCATAATTTATTATGGCTTTTTATCTGATAGCACTTCGGTACCGATAAATGGGCTTTATATGCCCAAAAGGTTACTCACATAACTTCTATGGCCCAACTCGGCTATCCACCATTATACACATATTATCTTGACCCAAATGAATATAATATGTGGTCCCGAACATATCGGGCGGCCCCCACTTCCGGTGTGGGCCCCACGTGAATTTTACTATTCACGTAAAAGAAATGATAAAAATTCACAATCACGTAAAATGCGTTTATTCATTTCTCGGGTTCAATACATAATTTGATAAAGTACAAATACTTGGGGGCGGTGTTACATTTACTTTAAGAGGAATGAATCTAAAAGAGTCCGGGCACTATGCATTCAAAAAAACTGCCCCTTCTGCTTCTATGCAAGCTGGGAAGATAGGTTCAAATGCTTCCAATTGAAAACCATGATCACCAAACACAGATGCAATTCCAAGTTCAAGCTGAGAGTTGTTAGTCAAAAATGGATACAAGACAAATATGAAGATAAGGTTAGGGATGACCCTTGTATTGGGTATGTGGCATTAAAAGACCTGATTGAGACAGAGTTGGGCATTCATATTTCAACAAGCATGGTCAGGAGGGCTGTGAGATGCATTAAGAAGAAAATAAATGCCAGCTTTGAAGAGCAATTTAACCGCCTTAGAGACTACGGTCAAGAGTTGCTTGATTCTATCCCAAACACAACCATGAAGATAATGACATCCAGAGTTGTTGATGATGGCCCTTGTATGTTTCAGAGGATCTATTGCTGCTTTGGTGCCATGAAAAGGGGATTTTTAGAAGGCTGCAGAAGGATTGTTGGGTTAGATGGTTGCTTCTTAAAAGGACTTTTGAAGGGGGAAATCCTTACAGCTGTTGGAAGGGATGCTAACAACAACATGTATCCAATAGCGTGGGCCATAGTTGAGATTGAGAATACATCTTCTTGGGCATGGTTTATAGAATTGTTGAAGCATGATCTGGAAATAGATGATAGCAGCCCCTGGACTGTAATAAGTGATCAACAAAAGGTAATTTAGCTTCACTTTATAGTAATAGTTCTACTAACTGGATTGTTTTTGTGTAAACTAAAATACTAACTCAATTATAGTAACAGTATAGTAATTTAGATAGTCATACTTAAAAATAAGTAGTATTCTTAGGTATTACTTCTTAATAAGTATTTACTGGCTTAAAATTACTTTAGAATAAGTACTACTAAAATGATTAACTACTGAATGAATAAATACTTTCTATTCCTTAATACAACTTAGACTTCATGAATAAGTGCTTCCTATTACTTAGTACTAATTATACTTAATGAAATATGTGCTTCCAATTATACTTAATACTACTTTGTCATACTAAATGGTGGTATTTACATGAATTAATACTCTTAAGTGTTTACGTATTAAACTGAGTAGTGGTTACTAGTTACTAAATAAATAAGTACTGGGAAGCTAAATTTTACTTCTTCATTTACAAGTAAACTGACTCAATCAATTAGTATTAAATGGTAGTACTAGAGATAATAAATAATGAAGTATATTATAAGCACAGTCACTGAATTAGATGTTGAACTAACTTTACTAAGTTAAATATGCAGGGTCTTACCAATGTCATCCAGACCTTACTCCCACAAGCTGAGCACAGAAATTGTGCAAGGCACATACATGCAAACTGGAGCAAGAATCACAGAGGGAAATACATGAAGCAGCTGTTCTGGATGTGTGCTAGGTCCACATCTGAGTCACAACTTCAAGAGTGGCTTCAAGAGCTTCAAAAAAAGGATGTTGTAGCCAAACAAGATCTGGAAAATTATCCTTTCAAAACCTGGTGCAAAGCTTTCATTAGGACTTCTGTAAAATGTGATGCAGTTGACAACAACATGTCAGAGGCTTTTAACCGAACACTGGTGGGGTGTAGGAGCAAACCTATCATTCCCATATATGCTAGAAGACATACGGATTCAAATGATGCAGAGAATTGCTAAAAAGAGAGATTTAGCTGCAAAATGGAAAGGTAGAATTTGCCCTAACATCAAGAAAATTCTGAATACTAACATATTGAGAAGCTCAAAGTGGAGGGTGGTATTCAATGGAGATGATGGCTTTGAGGTTAATAAAGGGAAGTATCAATACAAGGTAAAGCTGGAGGGAGGCACTTGCTCTTGTAGATCTTGGGAGTTGACTGGAATTCCATGCCAGCATGCTATATGTGCAATGTTTGATCAGGACAAGGATCCAGAAAGTTATATTGATGATTGTTACTCAATTGCTGCCTTCAGATGAACTTATTCCTACACTTTGGAACCCATTAATGGGGAAATGGCTTGGCCTAGGGTACAAGGAGAGAAAATACACCCCCCTGCACCAAAAAAAATGACCGGACGCCCAAAGAAGAAAAGAACCTGGGAGGAATCTGAGCCTCCAGCAGGCAAGCTGTCAAGAAAGGGAAGGGTCATGACATGTTCCCATTGTAAGCAAAAGGGCCATCAAAAACATGTGTGTCCAACAGCTCCACAAGGCAGTCATAAGTCAGTGAGGGGAGGCAGGGGTTCTAGAGGTGGAAGAAGGGGTGCAAGAAGTGGAAGAGGTGGAAGAGGTGAAACTGCTGCAATAGGTGGAACAAGTGAAGCTACTTCGACTTCAACATCTGCAAGAGGAAGGGGTGGAAGAGGTGCAAGAGGTGGAAGGGGTGGCAGAGCTGGAAGAGGAAGGGGTGGAAGAACAGAATCTAGTGGGGGGGGGAATGAGGAGGTAGTATAACAAATGTGTTAGGTGTATGAAATGTAATACTACTTAAATATGGTTGGTTGGTTGGCCTTTATGGCTTTTGGGTGATAACACTTGAGGTACTGCAGTTAGGTGGCTTGGTATTTTTGGGGTTTATGTTATGTCGATGCATGTATGTTTTGTAATATTTTTGTCTATGTAATGGTTGGTTGTCAAAGTACTTAATTATTGGGATCTGTACTCTTGGGTGTTATTGAAATGCTATGACAAATTGAGTATGCATTATTCTGCTTTATACTTCAGTTTTTAATTGTAAATGTGGGGACTTGCATATGGTTTTTGGTTGTGTAGGTTGGGTGTTGTATAAACTGATAGGTTGTGCACATGGGGTCTTGAAGATGAATTATTGGTTTGTGGTAGGGTGTGGCTTATATGTTCGGATGTATACTGCTGGGTTTAGTAGGTGGGGTCTTGAATATGCTTTTTGGTTTGTGGTAGGATGTTTGTTATACTATATTATTGGTTTCCTGCAGATTTAAAGGTGGGGTGCTCTTTGGTTGATTGAAGCAGACAGGTACATGGCGTGGGGTGGTCTTTTGAGTCACATGGGAATCTTTTGTGCATTATTGTTTTTTGCTTTTGGGTCTATACTCTTTATGTAAAGCTGCTTCTTCACATGGGTTGTGTATGGGTGTTGGTTTGCATTTTAGTACACTGCTTAAGTTTTATACTTCATAACTACATAATAAGGCAACACAATAACAAGCTGGAATATAAAAAACCTTCATTCATTCATCATTAACAACAATACCAAAGTTCAACAATAGGTCACAACTACATTCAACCAGAACAACTACATTTGAGTTCATTCATTAACTCCAAAGTTTTACATTGGATAACAATAATTAACTGTCATTGAACCAGAACACAAAACTAAATCTAACAATAGCTAGAAACTACATTGACTATTCTGACATTAAGAAGAACAGGACCATACTTAGCAGACAAATCCAAACTTTTACAATTTCTTAACAAGAACAGCTACAACCACAAATATCACAAGTCCTTGCCACATTCTCTTCCAGAATATCTTCTCTTTAGCTTCACTTTCAAGAACCATTTTGATGCTCTGTATATCCTGTTGCATAACAACCATAACCCTGTTCAGCTCTTGAATTGAGGCTTCCAATCTGCCAGTAACACCCATGTATGATCCATTGTCTTCATGGAAACCAGCTACGTCCTCTTTCCATACAAAATATCCACACCCTAACCCATCCTACAGTCAAAATCAAATACATACAACTGTAAACACATTTTTCAACCCTTTTTTCAATTCTAAAGGTTCCAAAAAATATAGTTTTTTTTATACATCAACCAACTAAACCAATATACAATTTCAAACAATTTCGCCCAAATTTCTTCTAAATTCCACAACAATTACAAACAATTACACCCCCCCCCCCCGAAAAAACCCTTAATATTTGAGAGTTTATTACCTTCCATCTTTGGCATCCATAAAACTGGCGTCCGCTTTCCCGGGTTGTACACAACCGAGCTTTCACACCACACAGACAGTTCGGTTCGTACAAGGTCGTTTTTCTTCCCAGTGCAGACGAAGACGACGCAGACATGGAGTGGGTTGGGTGTATCTCGTCCGCTTTCCTTGGTCTACAATTTTAAATGGAGTAATTGGATTGGGGGGTTGGGTGTATTAATGACTCAGCATTCATTATAAGGAATAGGTTGCTGACTGGGCATTTAAGGGGGCGAACGGGAGTTAACCGGCTGGATGTTGGGATTGGACAAGTATTTTTGGTTGGTGGGTTGGATCGGAGCTTATTTGGGTTTGGGGTGCCAATTGAACAATTTGGATACGTTCAGGGGCCTATTTGACCCTTTAGCCTACCAGAGGAGTAGTTAGAGTCCGTTTTCTGCTATTCACCTAATGTTTTTAATAAACATATACTATTTATGTAAAATGATGGGCTTTCATTACACGGAAAATTGTCAAATAGGTCCTCGAACTTTCATAAAAAAGTCAATTAAGTCCTTCTATAGGAGACTCTGTCCGGTCGTCGCGATTTGGGGCGGTTCCCGGTGGAATTTTTTGATGAAATATTTTGAGCATCTTATTCATCAAGTCTAGTTTATTCATACCAAATTTCAGCTAAAAATTTAATCGGGAGCGCATTCAAATTAATTCGAGAACGCAAAAATGCACAATTATCTTCAAGAATTAATTTGAATGTGTTCTCGATTGAATTTTTAGCTTAAATTTGGTATGAGTAAACTTGTTGGTCCCTGTTTTCAACAATCAAAATAACAATATAGATAGAGTAGAGAAGAAACGATTATCCGATTCAATACCAAACAATGATCGAGAATTGTACAGAACATGGGTATCGAGAAAGGAACTATCGGCTTTCTCTCTATGCGCTAATGTGCGTGGATATTCTGCAAAAAGCTTTTTTTTTTTTTTGCACATTCCCTTAAAGGCAATATTTATATGCCTAGGGAATGTGTGATGTGATCTAAGCATGATTGGGCTCTTTCATTATTTGGGCCCAATAACACACTTTACACATTTCCTAATAAAGCTAGTCTAATAATAGCTAACAAAGACCCCAATGGGATAAAATACCTAGACAAAATAGCTACACAAATACAAGGATATTTATCAGGATTGAACACCATAATTTTTTCCTCAACAATCTCCCCCTTTGTGTTCAATCATGGTCAATCAGCATTGCAGCGCGGATATCTTTGTCTTTGTGTTGATTCAGCAATGTAGAGGAGAGCGTAGATAAGATTTGTCCAGTTGCTCCTCTTTGTCTTGAACTTCAGTGCAGCTCAGCTTCCTTTGTCTTTGAACTCGATTTCTTGAGAAGGCTTTCTGAAGAAATCCTTGGAATCTTCCCTTTGATGTCTTCATGGCAATCTATTCTTTGATGTCGGGGAGTTAAAGATTCTTCAGTATCTTGCATGTAGTTCTTGCCTTCCAGAAGTTACTCTTGATCAGCATAAATGAATTCCGATGGCTTCTCTGGAACGAGTGTTCAGTTGATATACGGGCGCACATGGGAATCATCTTCAATACTTGAGTATTCGACCTGTGACTCCTCCAAAGTGTAGGTGGCACAGCGGAAAAGGATTGCTTTTGAGGAGATCTTGTCGGTGGCACAGCGGAAGATAATGATTGTCTTGTGAGCGTAGCTGACCATTTGATGTGAAGCTGACTTGGGAGCCTTGATGATTTGAGAGAGTAGAGAGCCATTGTTAATTTTTGTTGTAGAAGAGAAGTGTCCAAGAATGATTTGTGGATGGTAAACAGCATGTGGACCATTCTCCCCCTCATGACGATCCGATGAACCGGGACGTCATGCTTTTATTCTTTTATTCTGAAAAAAAAACAAAAAGAAAAGGGGAAAAAGGATAAGATAAAAACCGGAGACACCATGGTGTTCCGTTATCACAACATCAATGTAAACACCGATGTGTGGCCTGTGTAAAACGATAGAAGCATTAAAGCTCTAACAGGACTTCCAACCAATCATTGTGAAGCATCTGAAGTAGATGTCACTCTGGTTGTTAAGGCATGACCATAGAGATCAGAAATGAAAGTGGTAGCCCCCCGAGGTCGCGTAGACGCTCGTTATCATCACTATAAAGATAAACTCTAAAGCGATGGCCTGAACATATTGGTGATTTCAATGTTGCAACATCAGGACTTCCTTCCAATCATTGGTCTACATCTATAGTAGATGAGCCTATGGAAGTCCTCACATGGTCACTTGGACCTGCAACTGACTCTAAAAGTGTGTCTGTGTCCTAGAAAATTCAAAACATTTGGGAGTGAGATAACTAGACACGACGTGATCAATGAAAATCCAGTGGCATGGGGCTGAGGCCACTGTAGTCAGTATCACTTGCCTCGAAAGGAGACAGTAATAAGAGATGAGGTTCCCCGTGAATTATGATTAAACGCCTGTCTATTGGGAGACAAGTGAGTGGTCTAGGGTAGGGTTGTGCACGCGCCGTTTGGACAAAATGCAGCGACTTCTACCCGGGATCTGAATAAGTTCAGTCCTGAACCTATGGGGATTGTCCGAAGTATTTGAGTGACTGAGAGTAATTCTCTCGATTGATAGTGCAATAGAGGTAGCAGACTTGACAGTGATTATTGTTCTCTTGCTCACTTGAGCTTTCTGCTTCCTTACTCTCATAGTGTTTACTCACTCACTTTGGCTTTGTCCCTTGGGTAGGCTTAGTTGGGTTTACTAAGCCATTGAGACTTCTCTCTCATTGATTCGTTTCTTTATCTCTCTGTGCTCCCCCTCAATTGTAGCACTCAGTAGAATGCCTTGGACGATGATTGACGCTTGGGAGGAGAACTTTTAATACTCCCCCTCAAAATCTGCATCCTCGAGAGAATTCTTGCATTTAGCTTGGTTGTTTGAGGGTTCAGGTTGGGGTTATTGGCTAGATGAAGCACCATGCTCGAGTATCCGTTACCTCTTATTCTCCCCCTCATGAGGATCCGAATAATCGGGGTCCTCATGCGAACGTTTGTGACCGCGGAGACTGTCATTGCATGTGCTTTCAGTTTCAAGTACCACAATAAGAGCTCTTTGTTTGTAAGTGAGTGGAGCTTCTTTGGTTTCCAGAATTCTCGCTAGCATAATGGATGCTAGGTCATCGAATGGCATGGTAAATTGTCAAATGGGATAGGGTAAGGATTGGAGTGAGTTGCTGTTGGGAGTGGGAGGATGAGGGTTCAGTTAGAGTTTGAATGATGTCATTAAGAAGCGCCGGGGTGGTCCTGAATTCCTGTGCCTAAGCGGTTATTGCTTCGTGCACCCATGGCTTAATGGTGGAATCCAAGAAGCGCTGCAGAATGACAGAAAGGTCGGTAGGGTCAGGGTTTCCGGTTACAGGGGTAGTAACCGTTGTCACAACATCGGTAAAGAATAGCGGTGTGTGGCCTGCATATGATGATTGGGTTATCTGTTGAGCAGCAGGACTTCCGATCATCATTGAAGTATCTCCGATCGTTGTTGACAGGTAGAGTGGACCTGTAGAGTGCGGTGGTGTGAAAAGTGTACATGTCCTAGAAAAATTGGAAAATTTTGGAGGGTGACACCTAGACACAAAGTGGTAGAAGGAGGGGTAGTGACCTAGGGCTGATGGTCACTATAGATATCCTCGACCGCTCCGAAAGGGGGCGGAGAGGTGGGTATGAGATCCCCTGATATTGAAACTACTACCTATTGGGAGGTAGCAGAGTGGCTAGGGGAGGCTTGTGTATGCGCGGTTGGGTTGGATGCTGCGTCTTCTACCCGGAGACTGAAAAGTTCAGTCTCTGTGCCTATGGGGTTAGCCCGGTTTGTAACATCTAGGTTTCTTGAGCTAGGCTTCTTGATGTTTGCACTCTTTGTGTGGGAGTGAGTGATGAAGAGAGGACATCATGATGTTGTTTAGAGCGAGTCTCACTGGTAATCTGTCCTTGAGTATTCTTTCTCAAGAAAGACTCCCCTTCATCTGCAGCCGTAGGAAGCTTGACATTGAATCAACATTTTTGTAACTGAGCTTTCCTGGCTTTCTTTGTGTTGTTGTCCGCATGATCGTCGTCCTCACCACCCTTCTTGTTGTCGCTCTTTTCAGCCTTGCTCCCGGAGTCCTCATTATCAGCGTTTTATGGTCTGGCTGCGCTAGACGAGTCATAGGTAGTCTACTCAGCAACTCGGGGGTGGCCCTCAGCAGACGTAGTCTGATCATCATGGGGCCGAACCGCCACTGGTCTATGTGGCTGGGTTGAACTCTCAGGACCCTCACTTGCTCTCGGCTGACTCCCTTGGGTAGGCTCAGGGGGGTTTATCTGAGCCATAGGGAGTATAATGTTATTCTTCTGGCAGTAGCGTCGGACAGATGGATCATTCGGATCAGCTAACTGCAACAGAGACACTGGTATTAAGAGAGGTACAAGCGTTGAATCCTTAGTCATCTTTTGGAGATACTTGCTGACGTTCTCCGTTGATAGTCTTCGGTGGATGGATGGAGTTGTTCTGGAGAAGCGTCGCACCAGTAGTGAAAACCATTTGAAATATGGTAGATGTTTGATTTGATTGATCCTTTTCCTCTTTCTGATCATTTCAAGATTGTTGTCCCAGATCAGCGAGACGTTGTCATAATTTGTCATGAATGCCATGCCTTGGAAGACAATCAAAAGGTAGTTGCTGCACTTGTCAAAGCCGGTGTGTTTGGCAGTGCAACACTTGTTTAGTGTAGCCATCAGAGTCCTCCATGGCCGTGATAGTCTTCTAGGCTTGACCTGGGAGATGAGCCTGATCAGTTGTGCATGGCCCAGTGTGATTATGTCCTCCATGATATCTTCTTTGGTGGCCAGCTCATCATATTACTCCTGCTCTGGGATTTGCAGCACTTGATGCATCAACTCCTTTGTAATCGTGACCTTAGTGTCCTTGATAGTGGTGGTCAGCACGTCAGGCAGGACAAGACCTTCAGGTCCGACTTTGAGTTGTTCTCCTTGATGAGGTGTCAGTTCTGGATCCCGTAGATGGTCCTTATTGCTGCTAGTTCTGCCATTACATGCTTGAGTTGTCTTGCATTGATCCTTGATTGGCGCCA